TCTTTTCATCTTCCAAAAGAAAAACTGTGTACCAATTAAGCAACTGTACCATTCTTGCTCCTGCCCCTGGAGACCACCATTTTACTTTCTGACTCTATGAATTTGGCTATGTACCTCCTATAAGTAGAAGCATACAGTATTTGTTTTTAGACTCACATCTTATAAAACATAATGTCTTCAAGTTTTATCCATATTGTAACATGTGATAACTTTTTCTTAAGTTTTTCAGGCTAAATAATATTCCATTGTATTGGCAGGGAATGGTGGCACATGCTTGTAATCTGAGCACTTGGGAAACTGAGGCAGGAAGACCACTGTGAGTTCAAGGCCAGTCTGGGCTACATAGTGAGATCCTGTCTCAGAAAAAACCAAAAATTCACTATATAAATGTACTGCATTTTGTTTATATATTCTGTTTGTGGACATTTGGCTATTGCAAGTGATGCTTCTTTGAACATAGGTGTCCAAATATCTTTTTGCGTCTCTGCCTTGAATTCTTTTGGACATATACCCAGAAGTGGAATTGCATGATCACATGATAATCTATGCTTAATTTTTTAGAAACTGCCATATTGTTTTCCACAGTGATTATACCAGTTAACACTTCCAACAACAGTGAACTGATTTCCAATTTCACCACATTCTTGGAGATATTTAATACATTCTTTTATATGGAATGCTAATGGGTTGAAGAAAATGGGAAGCACTGCATAACCCTTGCAACAAGAACCTATTTTGATCTCAAAGCAAGAACTTATTGACTCTTTCTCTGGTAGCCCAAAAGAATTATGAAATTTTGGTTAATATATGACATTCTTATAAAAATAGATTACATGTCCAACTGAATCTTTCAATACTCATAGCTACATACTGCTCAACACATATATGTCTTTTTGTTTCTCTGTTGACCCTATGAGATTGACATATCTGGAGGATGGAAAGAGTATTTCGATGATGGAGTGTTGGTGATTTGAAATAGGTGTAAAGATAGAAGACTGCTGTCTTGAATGAATGCTCCAGAAAAAAAAAAAAAAACTACCATAGGGTGTGTTATTTTTCATCAGTTGTCCCCAGATGAAATCACTAGGTGGGAAGGAAGCAGGATGCAAAGGGAATGAGATGAGACATACAAGGGCCCTACTCTCCTCTCTCCTCCTCCTACCAAGATGGCTGGAGCAGGCTTGGCTTTGCTGGAGGCAGCCCCTCCCCTCCCTCTCAGTTCCCTTCACTCCCCGCCCCCTGCCCCTTGGAGTGGGACATCTTGCCTCAGTGTCCTCCCTGGTTATTTAGTGGCCCACTGTCCTCCAGGCCACTCTGACATGAGTGCAGCTCCACTGTCAGCTAGGGTGCCCCTCATCTGTTCCCAATACTTCAGCGGCTGCCACTTCTTTGGAAAGGGGGGTGGCACCTTAAAGTGGCTAAGATCAGGGAGGGAGGGATCTGGACCCGTTATTAACATCCCCAACCTTCCAAATCCCAATTAGCTGCAATGAGAACAGTTAGCTTTCTGGAAGATTATTTGGTTTCAATCTGGTAATTTTCCGCAAGACATGACAGCTATCACTCAAACAGCTCACTTCACTTCACTGCTCACTGAATCACCATGTGGCAACTGTGCTGGTGTCCTGGAGTTGTGTACACACTTGGACCCATCACAGGCCTGTACTTGGACCAATCAGCAGTCTTGCATGTGAAGCAATGTGGGCTTGCACTTGGACCAATAACAGACTTCCAGCTGCTAAATAAGCAGCACTTCCCACATGCTTCTTAGGTTAGTCTAGGTGGACCTCCTCCAGTGTATTGACCACCTTGTGCAGCAGCACAGGTCCTGTTAAAATAGACTTTCATCGATGGTCCTGTAACTTGCTTTTGATTTATTTTTTGGTAGTACTTATCCTGAGAAGTGTGGACAAAGCTGTTGTCTGAAAAGAAAGAGCAATGAACACTAGATGCTGTTATCCCTAAAGAGCTACAGAGATCAACAGCCAATGAAGATCAGCACCTGCCAAAAGGATCCTATGAAATCTGGCACAAGCTGACACTGGCCAGTGATAGCTGGTGGCTGCAGTGACCAGCAGCCAGCTGTGTCAACTGTTGGCATCAGGCATTATCCAGTGTCATCTGGTGACATCAGGACTGCTAGAAGAGGCAGACTTTGCCAATTCATGATTTCCATCTGAATTGAGCAAAATAACTCAACTCATTGGCAGCAGGGTGGTAAGCCAAGCAAGAGTACTCTGTCACAGCTGCAAGATTGTGTAGCAATATCTCCACAGAGTCCCTTTGGTTCAGTCCAATGGGGAAACTCGGAAGATGAGACAGGCCACTTGTCAGAGTTGTCTCTATTAGGAACAGAGGGGCTGGGCTATTTATCTGCTCTTAATCAGGAAGGACCAGCCTTTTCCAGTTCTACTGTGAAGGCATGCAAAGCAAGTTTTGGAAGCAGTTCTGAGGCAGTTCTCCAATAAAAGGATATGGGTATTGATTGCTGGGATTGAAAGCATAGAAGGACTGGACAGGAAATGGAAAAGGATCCAAAGGGATACAGCAGAGCACTGACAGCCACTAACATGGATGCTAATAAAAGACAACATGTCTCCTCAGGATAAGTGCAGACTGGCTGGGACTGGTGCTGGTCAGCTGCATATACTTTCAGCCATTTATAAATAAGATGGAGAGAGAACTTTGTATCAAAACTTTATTTATTAAACAAAAAATGCACCATTGGAATAACATTTCTATAAAAAATGAATATGAGACTGTTCTACAGTAATTACAAAACCCCTTTTTCTTCATGTAGTAGTATACAAGATCATGTGTAGAAACAGTCATTGTTTTAAACTGTAACCAAGTTTCCTTTCTCATAGAACAAGATTTACACTTAAATATTGCAATCACTAGTCTAATTTGGTTAACAATGCTAGTCTGACAATTTAAAGAAACTCTTTGTAGGCCCAAAATACCTTTTATTTTAAAAAAGGTGTTTTGCAACAACAAAAAATTTCTTTTTCCACTAAGGCTAGTTAAAGCTGTAGTATACCCATTTCTACCAAGTACACTTATCACTACCACACTAACAATTTGTTTGAATTGCAAAGCCCTTTAGAGAATGAATAGCACTGATCTGCAAAATGCTATCAGAATTATTTTAGGTTTGGTGTTAACATGTTTGAACAGCCCTAGAAAGGGAGAAGGCATTGATGATGGAACTTCAGTGAAGGCTTTGCCTGGACATATCCTCTCACTCAGCAATGGGCGGTTCACCTCCAAAGCAGTCCCTCTGACATATGGAACACTGCAGCTTTAACAGCCAAACCTAGAATCCAACCAGATCTCCCTTTTTATCATAAATTATCCAAAAAGAAGCCACTCTAAATAATAAATTAAATATTACTTATAAAAAGTACACCCCATACCCACCCACCCTTCCCCCAAACCAGCTGACAACTCACAAAGTTCAGAATTGCCAGGTTAACCCTACAATAAAAAAACAGCATTTCTCCTCCTCTCCAACATTTCTTTCTTGCATCTGAAAATACACGTTCAGCACACAGTGAGATCCCTCGGCCCATGTCTCTGTGTCTATGACATCTTGTACAGTTTGGCTGTTGCTCTCCTATCAACGAAAAATTATAGGATGGCAATATACAAAGGCTCTTTAGTAAGAGCAAGAGAAAAAAATGTCCTTCAGAGTGCAACTGGAAGTCTGCTATGTATGTTGTCCAATAGTGGCAAAGGAAAGGCCAGAGCGGCAGTATACTCTTTTGCTGATATGAGCATGATATTTGGTCTCCTATCTAACCTCACTAACTGGAAATACTTAGGAATTTTCTCTCAGAATCAATTCCTTTTGGAAGTAGGTATTTTGATAGCAAGGTATATTGCAGCCTGGGGACATATATCTTTCCATAGGGTGGGATATCATATAGTACACCTCTTTATGGTTTTCTAAGGTAGCCAATTGAATTTAGAACACCAGACTCAAGTGGGAAGCTTTTCTGTAGAAAATTAAATGATTTCTGAAAGTCACTAACTGCAAATTAAGAGTAAAATGTCGCTTGAATGTGATTTTTTTTTTTTAAAGAGAGTAGTAGACTGGGGGATATGACTGCTTCTGTTCCTTTACAGTATTTTGGGCTCTGCATTGTGTATGTGATGAAAAGCAGGACAGGACATTAACATTAGTCCTTCAGGACAGCCACAGTTGTAGGAAGTTGGCTGGATGAGGAAGGCAAAGCATCTCTTTCACAAGTCTATTTGAAAGTTCAGATGGTTTTGTTTCTTTAAATATGCTTAAAACTTGGGAAATGTTTATTTTCCTTTATTTCATTGCCTAGAAGTGGACATTGCAAAACCATAAGAAGACTAGATCTGGGATACACTTTTATCTAAAATGGTAACTTCTTTAGAGGTTCCTTTACATTGGAATTAGAGTCCAGCTGCCATGTTTGACACACTCCATTCTATTTGGAGATGATCTAAAAGTGTTCATAGCAAGCAGAAGGATCTAATGGTGGATAAGTTTCAAAAACCATCTTCAAGCACAGACTCTGATGGCTTTTAGAAAGACCTATACTTAAGAGAGTCTTTATTGGGCATAAGTGTTAAAGTTTACAGTTTCAGAATGTTGCCTGACCCTACTCTAATACCGTGTGCTCTCCATTTGTAGCTGTTACCAGGGCAGGGACTGAATATACTCATTTTCAACAATCCTAATTTAAAGAAACTAATGTTATATCCAACCTCTAAAATAATACCTCAGTAAATTCAATCCTTGTATCTTTGGCTCAGTGTTTTTTTCAGGTTGTTTAACTGAGTATGTATTTTAGAAGGCCCAAATGTAATTATATTACTTAAATATTTTAGATGCTTATAGGTCTGTTGTACAAACAAGCTTTGGCTGGCTTACTGAATGTGAGTTACTAAGATGTAGTGAACTTTTAGCTAGAGCAACATACAAATATTTAGTACATATTTTTGAGCTATCTTCATTTTTTTGGTTTTTTTTTTTTTGAGACAGGGTCTCACTATGTAGTTCAGGCTGGTCTTTACTATCTGGCCCAGGCTGGCCTCGAACTCCTAGTAATCCTCCTGCCTCAGCCTCCTGAGTCCTGGGCTTAGAGGCATGTGCCACTATGTCTGGCTAAGAAATAACTTTGAAATATAATACTTGGCACCTAAAGCTTTTATGTTTTGTTTTGAGATACAGCCTTGAGATATAATTCAGGCTAGACTTGACCACAATAAGTAGCCCAGGTTGGCCTTGAACTTATGGTCTCAGCTTCCAAGGGCTAGGATTACATGTGTACCACAGTTTTGTGAGTTTAATAAGTGCAGGATTTTATGGAGGGATGAAAATAGCTTTCTTATCAGAATGAAATACAGAGGAAAATATCAAACTTTTTCAAAAGGAGGCTCCTGTCTGATAGTTGAGCTTACTGTCAGAAAGGTCTTACCATGCCCCGCCAAGTCTCATTTTCTTCTTTCTTGGGAAGAAATGAGTCCTGGGGTCAGAGCTCCTGGTTGGCTATCAAGCTTTGCCCAATGGGAGTGAGAGAGATTTATGAGCGTAAAGAACCCTGCATGCCATGAACTAGACTGAGAACGACACAGAGGCGCTCTCAGGGAGTTCACAGACACATCCTTGTCAAGAGATCAGGAGACCAGAAAATTAAAAAGTTACCTGAAAACTTGGGCAGGGTAATTGTACACCTGTGAGCCATTTGAAGGAGTAAGGAGCAGAGTTATATAGAAGTTGCGGTGAATTTGTTGCATGTTAAAATCACCAGGTAAATGACATGAAAGTCTCCTGAGGATATTTAAATGAGCCCTATTTTATATTCAAGGTATGGCAATGGGACTTCTTAGCATTGCCCATTGCTAAAAGAAACCACTGTATTTAATGAAGAAGTTTTAAGAGCATGTAATGGAACTATAACTCTCATTGTAGACATGTAGCAAACTTTTAATGGGTTTTAAAAAGAAAGTCTCACTTCCTAAAATAGTTGGCTTTGACTAGAGGGGTCCCTAGTTTTGTGAATATGCTATTTCTTTTGATTCTACTGAACAGACTGACCCTGCAACTTTTTCCATGAAATCTGAGATTTGTAGACCATTCCTAATGGAGTACCAGCATGACCCCAAGGGTGTCAAATGCCTTCAGAGAATATTCCTTGTTCGTGAATATTTTTGTGAATATTTTGGTAGGCCTCTGTAGGGACTTGAAAGTTAGGCTAGCCTAGTGAACATTTTCTGTTTTGAACAAATGAATTATTGATACTGAAATATCTGATACCATGTTAGAAATACCTCATTTCAGGTCAGTAGAAGGTTGTCTACCTAATTGCCCTGATATTGAACAAGAGGAATCTGCCCATCGAATAACATCACATAGCTGTTGGGAAGGACTTCCAGAAAACCTTAGTAAATTGAACAAGCACTCTTGTTGAAGGAACAATTTTCCAAATGGACCAGACTTTCTAATGAACCATTTGAACAAGCCCTCTCTTTGACATCAGATTTCCTTCCAGACATAAAACTGTAAAAAAATAATCTGAATTATTACTTCTGTTACAGTGCCATTTTGCTCAAAATATTTCATTCAGGGATTCATATATAATTACCCACCTAATAAAAGGAGCTATTAGGTTGTAAAGATCCTATCCTTCCCATGCTATTTTAAAATTATGACCTACTCAAGCTTGAAATCAAAGGCAGAGCTGAAAGGAATAATTCAGCTGAAATGCTCTCATTGGGTTTTCAAGTCACCTAACTGATAAATATGCAAACTACCTCCCTTTTGGCGACTTGGCTGCATAAACAGGGATTAACTCCAAATGCAGCTGAAAATTCAGAAACTAAAAGAGTGAACACAAAATGTTCTTAATTTCAGCTAGGTACAAGCTTTACATAATATGGCAATAGAAGTTTAAAATTCTAGCCCACAGTTTAAGACTATGTAAAGTACCCACTGGATTTACCATATGTCAGAAGTGTCAAGTGGGATCCACTTCTCTGCTCCCCAAATCTGGCACAGGCATGGGATGGATGCAAAGTTGCCTTGGCAACAAGACCTGGTGGTTAACATTTGTCAGTGTTGCCTGGCATAATTCAGGATGCTGCAGGTGGAAGTGGCATCACCCAAGAGAAAGTACTCTTGAAAAGTGCCTCTTATGATCCTTCCCCTCTTTAGGGGCTGCTTTCAGGAGGAAGTCTTCCACTTCCACAAGGGGACACAAGAGACATTGGCCAGAAATCCATGTGATATGTGGAACTGGCCAATTTTCCTTTGGCTAGTTGCCAAGGAGAAATCAGGGAGGGATAGGATGGAGGGGCAGGAGAAAGTCTCCCAGCCAGACTCCTGAAGATGCCTTGGTGAAGCTTTGAAATATCATCACAGTGCATATGGCATAAAAGCCTCCCAAATTGAAAAGTGTCCTATTACAAGCTTAAGCACATAATTACTGTGTGTCTGAGAAGATCGCATATTGTATGCTCTTTCTAGAAATATGCTGCTGCTGGCAGGATGGCACCCTTTGCAGATTTTTATGTTCCTATACTTCAGACATAAATGTTAACCAAGGGTGGATTTACCCTTGTTAAAATCGGTGAAGTTCACCACCACCTGCTAATATCTGCCACTTGTGCAAGATGAATGATTAAATTAAAACATAAGTATTTGCTGTCTTTTGTTTATTTATTTACTTTTGTGCTGTGCGGGCAAACATCCAATCTTTTGGTGCTATGGAGTGAGAGAATTTCCATGGGTGCTTTGCACTTTAAAGTGGAAAACAAAATAGTAAGCTTGCAATGATTTGCCATGGCATGGTACAGGCTTAAAGAATGCACTTGTATTTTGTAAGACTAGACCTTCACATAAAACGACAGGCCTTGATGAAAGAAAACATCGGCATTAGTTACAACAGTGTGGTCTCTGCAGGCACAAAGACCCAGGGCTATTCTAGCAGCTTCAGCTTTGACTTTGCAGGAAAGATGTATCTTGCTTCCGTTTAGCGACCTCATAGTTTCCATTTATGATTCCTGATGCCTATGAAGGAAGGGATGTGTACTCCTTCTGAACTGCTTCAGGATCTTCCTTCACTGTATGATCCTAATGATGACCTGTACATCGGTTAGAGTTCTTGGACACAGTCGTGCTGTTTATGGGTGACTGGTGTGCTGCAAAGCTCCCAGAAAATTCGCTTCATAAATTCAGCAATGTACATTAAAACGCCGAGCCCGTGATGGCATTAAGTTGCTTCATTAGCCCTTCCAAACTTGCCATTTGTTCACTCAAATCATCCTGTTCATACACCTATGGAAAGAATCAGAGTGCAAAGAGTTAGTGCTAAATAAAGATATGTTCCTTTCATGAAGGCAGGGGCCATGTCTAGTGGGGTCACTCAATATTCTCAAGTCCCAGTGGCCTGTGACAAGGGCTGTCCTTACAGTAAATTCACTGAAAGAAGATGCTAGTAAGAAAGGAGGTAGTGATGAATGATTCTGTCTTGTTCCAGGACTCCATCCCTGTTACGAAGAAAAATGTTTCATGTCAAAAGAATCCTGGTTTAAATCAAATTCTACCAAATGACTAGCTCTGTGGTCTTGAGCAAGTTAGTGAACTTCTCTGGTGCATAGTTTTCCTCACCTATAAAGTGATCATAGTGATCCCTCTTTCATAGGTAATCCTGAGCCTCATTGAGACATATTTTGTGCCTATTACGGTATTTGGCATGTAGTTTATGTTCCATACATTAGCTCCTTTTTCTTTTGATAAGGCTACCTTTGAAGATATGAGCAAAATTTACATCACTGGACATTTTTATCCTTTTTAATATGTCATAGGTATAGTTTTAGTTTTGTGTAGGAACTTGATAAGCTTTGCCTTGACCAAGAAGTACTCTGAGAATTACGACTTTAGTCTGTGTGTGGAAAGAAAGTTCATGCTCCAAGGCAGATAGATTGTCCATAATGCAAAGAGACTTACAATATGATTTAAATGGTGGATAAAATGAAGTTAAATGGTAGAAATCTTAGTGAATATATTATCTCTAGTTGTAATTCACTGTGAGTCATTAGTATATAATTAGAAGTAACAAGATTCTCAGTTATCACAGATCCCCTACTTACTGTATAAGACAGACATAAGAGTTTGTATTTTTAAAAAATCCCATATAAGTTTTGGTCAACTACGTGGAGAAACATGGGGCAAAGAGCACCGAGGTGGTGTGTTCATTTGAATTTGTTTTGTTTTTTATATACTTGGTTTTTGACTTAGTCTCATTATCTCTAAATGGGAATAGCAAGCTTGGCTCAGTGAGTCTCTGGGAGGAGACAATAAATTAATGCTGTCCAATGGTGGTGTTCAATAAATGTTAGCTTATTCTTTTCCACTTGTTGACATATAGTTTGTTTTGAGAAATACAGAAATGGTATTTTTAATTATCCTTAGCTAGCCCATTTAATTGATTAAATTATTGAGCCAATGCAACCTGAGCTATGATTTCTGTTCTGCATAGGTCAAGAATTTCACTGGGTACCATGGTCAGAGATGTACAAATAATCCTCTCAATAAGTTCCCTTGTTCCCAAAAGAGCACTGATAGAATCTGCACAAGGGGATAGGCACAGAGTCACTCCAGCCAGTGAAGAAAATGCTCACAACACAGTACTAATGCATGAGCTCTGTAATGGAATCTGAGCATGTAAGTAAATGATTTGGCCATACAGTATACAGTGCTTAACAGGACTGAAAGTAACCAGTTTGGTTTAACAAGCTATTATACAGCATGCATATAATATGCCTATATGGATATATGAAGGAAAGTGGAGTGAGGTGATTGCCTGGTCAATCATTTTCAAAACACAGTATGCATTATACAGTACAGCCATCGCTGGCCACATATAACTCTTGGATTCCTAAAATGTGGCTAGTTTAAACTGAAGTGTGTTTTTCTTATAAACATGAGAATTCAAACATTTAGTATAAAAAATGTAAATTATCTTCTTGACAACTTTTAACACTTACTGTTGAAATTTTGTAGTATTTTAGAAATATTAGATTGAAAGAAAGGTATTAAAATAAATTTCACTTATTTTCATATTTGTTAATGTGTCTCCTGAAAATTTAAAATGATACATTTACATATTTTATAGGATATTTATGATCTAGAGTATTTGCCCCATTATTTTATAGGATATTTATGATCTAGAGTATTTGCGCCATTTTATGATCTAGAGTATTTGCCCGTATTCTTTTAATACATGTTCTTTTTAAATATTAAATCTTTTTCTATCACTCTTTAGAGTCAACTTTAAATGTAAAAATGGGCTACTTGATATCATTCCTTATGAGATGAAAAACATAAATTTAGGAGTTTGACCTGATTTGACATTGGTTCACAAATCACAGGATTAAACAAATATTGAACCAAACAGCAACATTCTAACAATAGAATACTAGGTTCTTTTAAATTTGAATCTTTTAAAAAGTGTGTTGAGTATCTAATACTGTTCTGCCAAACATTCTCACATAAACAGGTATTCAACTTCCTTGTTTTCTACAGAAACTATTTTATTGTTTATAGTACTGAAGATGAAGTAAAAAAATACATAATTCATCATTTAAGTGAAATGATGCTTTGTAACAAGCAGATTTTTAAAAATATCATTTTATTGAAGAAAACTGTTTGTTTAATTTTTTTTTTTTTTAGTACTGGGGATCAAACTCAGGTCCTTGTGCTTGCGGGGCAGGCTGTGGCACCCCTGAGCTAAATCCCTGGCCCAAAAAAACTGTTGGTTTTTCAGGGCTCAGAAAGGGCAGATTGTAGGTGACTTATTTATTCTTTGATATTGTTTTGATTTTCTTTATCATATTATTTGAGTACTTTGCATAAATCCTCATTTATGCATTAAGAAAAGATAAGCTAGTTCACAATCTACAGTGGAAAAAGATTCAAATGTAACAATAAAATAGAATTTTAATCTGTTTTTTTCATTTTTTTTCTTCTTCTAGTTCCTTGTTTATTCAAAGTATCCAGTAGGTTAATTCCTTAGCTTTAAGATGTTTTTTCTTAATATCTATTCAGAAATACACTAAAGTTGTCACAATAGCTGCTTTTAGGCAACATCTTTTGGGGAACATTTTTTGATTTTTTTTCTTCATCATTTATTTTCTGAGTTTTCTAATTTAATCACTTGTAGTTTCTTCTCTTACATGATTGTTTCCTTCCTTAAATAATGAAATTTTTTCTTTTTTCTTTTTTTGTGTGTTTTTGGTACCAGGGATTGAACTTGGGACCTTGCACTTGCGAGGCGGAAGCCAGAACCACTGAGCTAAATCCCCAGCCTGAAATTTTTTATTTTCTAAATATGTCCATTCCTTTGTTTTTCCTCTTAAGCTCCTTTCTTCATTTTGTATTTTCTTCTTCTCACTTCTATATTTTCTAGGTCATTTTATGATTTTAAAATTAGTATGTATAACATCTGAAAACTTCTCAGAATGTTACTTTTTAATATTAAAAATAATTATGTAGTATCATTCCCAGGAATGTTAAGATATTTAATCCCATTCAAAGGGATATACATGATGTGATCAAAATATATGGTCAATGTTTTTAAAAATTACAGTGAAAGACACATTGCTATTATTCTCCCTCAAAATATTCCCCTTCACTTCAGATACACATATCCTATTATTCTTTCCTTCCAGAACTGTAAGTCCTCTTTCATTAAATGTATCTTTAGTTGCACTCTTGTGGCTGCCTTGATGTCCTGAATTGATTCACATTTTACCTTTCATGGTCATGTGGCCTTTGGAGAAGAGCCAGAAATCTCATGGTGCCAGATCTAGTGAACAAAGTGATGACAACACACCACGATGTTTTTATCTGACAGAAATTACCATACCAGAAGTGATGTGTGACATGAAATGTTATCATGATTGAGGATAAAATTGTCCATTTCTCAGGCCATTTTCTATGCACATTGTTTCTTAAACACTTTAATAAGCTCTTATAATATTGAGAGTTCACTAATGTTCCTGGGTACAAAATCAGTGCTTAGAGATTCCATCAAGGTTGAAAACCACAATCAACATCACCTTGATTAATGGGCTTTCTTTGCAGAAGAACTGGTTAATTTCGACTGAGAACTCTGAACCTTGGACTCAGGGTCATAATCATACATTCAAGATTTATCTGCTGTGGTGACATTTCTTAAAAAACTAGAATTTGAAGCTGTGTGATTATGCAAATCCAATGAAATTGATGAACACTGTTGCTTTCATCTGACAGTCAAAATGCATGGAACAAATTTTGAGGAGTTACTTTGTGTTCAAAGGTGTTGTTAAAATGCTTTGAATGGAGCCTTAAGAGATGTTCAGATGCTCAGACATTTCACTAATAGTCAGTAGCCTGTTTGACTGAATCATTTCACCTACTCTTTCAACATTCTCTTGGGGTTTTGATGTTGAAGTATGTGCTGATCTCTCCTTGCCTTCAACTCATTCAAAAACATTACAAACTCTCTTGAAACAATTGTAAATCATTTTACGGTTACTGCAGCTTCACCATAAATTACATTTCATGTACATGCACATTTTTGCAGTATGAAACAAAATTTTATGTTAATGCATTGTTCAAGATCCATGACTTAAGGTACACTTTAAAACACACCTTCTGTCAATATAGCTCACAACCAGCTGGTTACATTGAACAATCTGCAACTTGTCAGACGCCTAATGTTTAGAATGCCAATTTCTCATATCAAAGATCCTTGTCTTTCCATTGCATGGAAGTTGGCAACATTCACTGTATTTTTATCTATCTACCTATCTCCCATATTTATGTATACATATATTATATATGTGGATATAAAGTCATGCATTCTGTAGCTATCACTTGTATTTCTAACACTACCTTTAAGTGTCAGTAATATGTTTTACCTAACTAAATCCCTGATATAATTTTTCCTCTAAGTTTTTTTCTCTTCATATTCAAGGGTGGACAAACAACATCTGCGCCCTGGGACTGACGGGGAGTGCTGACTGGTTTAGACCTCACTGCACAGTGGCAGCTCATGTTTCCCTGGATGCAGCAAGAATCTGAAGGAAACCCTTACGTTGGCTGCATCCTCTGTTGGTTTGTGGTTCTCCTCAGACACTTCAGGGGCTGTTGGCACAGACACGGGAAGCAGAGGGGATCTCGCTTTTCCAGCCAGCCCGAGAGAAGCTGTTTTAACATGAGACTTGGGAAGAGTGGGTCCTGAAATAGAAAACAGAGTTATGAAAGTAAAATATGAAACATTCTGAGGTACAATTTTAAGCACATAAGCCAAATCAAGTAGCTTGGCATTGATTTTAGGTTATTATTCTTTCAGTGGTGTGGAGATTCTGACACAACGAATGGCTCATTTTATTTCTACTGAATGGGAGACAGATTGTGATTAGGCCTCTCCAGATGACACTCAACCAGTCGTATATAATTTCAAGTGGGTTTCAAATCATGCTATGAAAGTTTTCTGGGAGCCCTGGACTCATCGTCACATCCTATAAAGTGTCAGGTAAGGCCGTTTGGTGCCGGCCTCAGCTTTGGGGCCAGAAAATCCTGAGCAATACCACTTGAATAAGTCCTAAATTATATAAGAGAACCAAAGATTGGTGAAATTGGAGGGATGCTCACTCTGGTTTACAAGTGAGTATTAGGTGATACAGTAAAACAAAGCCCTTCAGGGCTAATCTAAGAAAATCTTATTTTTAATTCTCTTTTGCAAAAAACAAAAATTATGTAATTCTGTCCTGATCAATACAGTTTCTGTCAATAAAAGACATTTTGATGCTCATAAAAATAATTTAAGGCACTGCTGAGTTTCTGTTTGATGACATTTATGTTACTGTAAACCAGGGCTATATTTTTTCTTTTAGGGTCTGAAATTTGTCTTATAAATCCTGCTTAGCTAAGACCAGTACTACAATTTTGTAGTACTATACTCTATACTCTATAATTTTATACACTGTACAGAGTATCTATACTGTATAACTTTACAAAGCTTTATTAAATTAACTGTGACATCTCACATAAATAAGGATTTTAAAAAAATTTTAGCATTGTAACCAAAAATGCAGCAGACAAGGAATTGGAGCAAGGGGAAAAGTAGGTTCTCTAGGTTTTCTATCAACAATAATGATGTTTTAGTTCTAATGATCCTAATGCCATCATATATTTTGTCCCCCAAAATTGTGTGGAATACACAATGGAAAATGAAATATTAGTTAATAAAATTCAGAGGTGAGTGCATCTACAAGCAGAGAAACGGGTCACTTGTGTTTTGAGAAAGAAAGAATGCAAATAATGTAATTGAATCAGCAATTTGCTAGATGCTAGCCATTGTAAAAGAAAATACTAATATAAAACTTTTTCCAGTGTGATGATCTAACATGTAATTCACTTATATTTGTATCCTTCCACTCCTAAATTTTGAGGACAAAAGTGTACAATTGGAGTGAAAAGGAATTTGGGATTTGCAATAAGTTCAGTCTGCATTCTGATCCTGGGATCTCAACTACATACTACGTGTGTAGTCCCTTGGTTGACTAAACCTGCCTTGGCCTGTTATTTCCCATCTTTAAAATAGGAATGATTTGTGAGGATTAGGTTAAATGAGATTGTATACTTAAAGAGGCTGATACCTAGTGACTTGTTCAAATAGGGCTACTAATTATTAGTATTTCATTACCAAAATAATCTTTTAAAAAATTTTATTTTATTGGTACATTTCAGGTATACAATATAGTGACATTCATCATTGGAAATTTGCATCTTTACATAATCTCTCTTGGTTCTTATTTTTCCCCCTTCCCCTGCCCTCCCTTCAACTCCTCCATCCCTCCCTATTTACAAAGACTTTGTTTCCATTTTTTCATTTTCTCATATTAATTCCATTCCCTTCTTTCCTTTTCCCTACCCCTCCCAATTCCCCTTCCCCTTTGCCCCTTTTCTTCCTATTTCACATTATCTATTATACCTTTCCAAAATAATCTTTATGATAATTATTTCCAGTTTACACATGAGGATGCCCAAATGGAGAGCAACTAAGTAACTTTGCCCAAATTCACATATTTAGAAAAGAGCAGATAGGTAAAGGTTATGTATATCTAACTCTACTGAGAAAATGAAGGTTACTAATATATTGATCTAGCTCACCCAGATTAGCTCTTTGAGGAAGCTATATAAATTAACATGAATTTAATTCAAAGATTATAACTTGAGGATTGACGTTATTTCATCATTGTCTCTTATAAGTGACTTGTAATTTAAAAGGAAAAACAAAACTTTTAATATTTTTATTACAATGTTACTCAATTATAGAAACATAAAGCTTGCCACAGTATTGTAGTTCTTATGCTATGCTACAAAATAAAAAGTCAAATGAAAAAGCCCCATAAAATAGCACAATTTTAATCATCAGCATTAATTTAAAATGGCTAAAGAGGTAGGTCAGCTAAAACAAAATGGCCATATGAATTTGATAATGTATGTTGTAATTATTTTTGTCCTTTATGCTTAGTTTTCATTACCAATATTATATAATTGAACAATAAGCAAACATTCAATCATACAAATACTGTAATGTCAGCTGGTCCTCCCCAGATATGAGAAAGAATTTGTGAATTGCCTTTACTGTTATCTTTTTCTCTTCAGCCTTTGTCTGTAAATATGAGGTTCCTGGAGTCATTTTAGTATGAATGAAAATACAAAGGCACGCATAAAACAGAAGTGAGCTATCAAATGATCTTCTGGGTGTCCAAAGTATATAATTTACATTAATATTTTAGATTATTATTTAATGAAGTCACAGAGTTTAGAAAAGAATTCACAAAGTTTAAAAGCTTAAAGTAGTGCTGCAACTTGACTCTATGTATTTAAATCCTGTTTTATGTTGCCTGAATTATGTCTGTTTTCCTTCAGGAAGGCTCTCAAAGGTTCTAGTAAACCTGGATATAGCATTATTAACACAAAAGCTGTCCTACCTAGTACCTTCCTCAAACAACTCTTATCCTGCCCCAAGTTTAACAGAGCAGCTGCATCTTAAAAACTAACTTTTTTTCTATATAGATCTATATGTACATATTTACCCATTTTTGACATTAAACTTACTGACTTTATTTTAGGGATGTAAAAAAATTTTAAACCACTTCTGGAAAATTTAAAATTTAACTTTTAACCAGAGATGCACAATGTGTCTAATACCTACTGAAAATCAGTTCACTCCATCTTAGGTATTAATAAATAAAAGTAAACACTTCTACAAGAAAAAGTAAATGGCATAGCTTATTATGGAAAAAAGTCAAGAAGAGCCAGTGCCTATTTTGTTTCTTGAAGCATATGAGAATAAATATTCCTTTACAATTTACTACATTGCTTTATATAATTCCTTAATATTTATTTTATTATAATTTTTGGAAGTTTTGCCTGCAAAGAAACTGAATTCCTAGGAAGTCATTTTCACTACAGAAGTATATTCTTAAGTTATTTCTGCTTAGGAATCTAAATATTTGCATGGATATGCACTGTATTATACTGCATTAGCCACATTTGTATCATTTACAATAGCATAGGTATGACTTCAGAGTACCTTAATTAAAAGCCATCAGGAGGAAGATTATTGTAATAATTGATTTTCTGTAGTGATCACACAAAGGTCACACATTCAGAAAGTACTAAGTGTTGAACAATGTACAAGACACTGTGAATTTTACAATCAGAACTGAAGATATTGTCTTGGTTCCAAGACCAAACAGAATATGTGAAGCTCAAGTGGCTGTCTTTTCTCAAGTAATGTTTATAGAATCGCAGACATTGAGAATGCCAGAACTCAAGGACTCCAGACCACGTCTAGTAACCTTGCCCTTTATTTTGTTGAAGAGAAGAGTCAGGGCCCTGAAGACCAAGAAACCAACATAGAATTAATATCAATAAAATTCCAGTAGAGACAAAGAGTTTGAGTCAAATCAGCAAGATTTAACTGATGCATTCTATGGCCTTGAGTATTTTTGCTTTCCTTTTCCTAAAAAGGAAGTTAAAGGACTATAAGCAAAATTTCCTAGGAGATATTTATTAATAGCCAATTAGACAACTTTGGTCTCAGAACTGCCCTTTAATAAAGAAGAAAACATATTTTAAAAAAAATTTCCATGAATATATTCTGCTGTGGGAAGCTGAAACCATTCTCTTGGGAGTACATTACCTCTGATGCTGTTCTATATTTGTATAGTATTTGTAGATTCAGCATTTTCTACTCTGAACCTCAGATGTTTTAAGCCCAGACACTGGCAAAGCCTGGGTCCATCCTAGCTGATCAATCTGTGCTTTTTCTTTTACTTCTTTACTTTTAGCTCATCATGTATAATAGAGTTCCATTTTGATTATTTTAGTCTGCATTCTTGTTCTTTCATAGAGCTGAGTCATGACTTTAATCCTTCCCCTTGTATCAGATACAGCAATATTTATGATCTATATGCAATGAATTCTAAGGAAGGAATGAGTGCTCAAATAAATATTCCAAATATTGAAAGACTCTTAGCGTAGGATTTGGGAGACATAGTTTAACATACTTTTTTTTTTTTTTTTACTTCGTTAGCTTTCTGTTACTATAACAAATATCTAAATTAAATCAACTTAGAATAAAAGGTTTATTTTGGCTAATAGATTCAGAGATTTCAGTTCATGGTTACTTGGTTCTGTTGCCTTTGGGCCTGTGGGCAGGCAGTACATCATGGGGCAAGGATATGGCAGAAGACTTTTCTCACCTCATGTTGGCTAAGAAGCAAAAAGAGAGAAAGGAAGGAGACAAGGATCTAAATCCCCTTCAAGGGCATGCCCTCAAGTGACATAACTTTCTCTGACCAACCCCTACCTATTAAACATTTTTATCACTTTGCATCAGTGCCACAGGCTGGCACACACACCTTCTGAAACATGTGCCTTTTGGGGACATTTATCCAAACCAAGGTCAAGAGTACTGACCTTGGCCCAAAGCCCAATTTGATTTCTATTTAATTCTATGGGTTTAAATGTTCCATGGTTAGTTGAAAAATTTAAATTTAAAAATGCTTTACTAAAGCCACTGCAGAATTCTCTGTACTTGGGATGCTCACAGTACAAGCACTTCAGGCAACCCTTTGATGGAACACTGGATGTTGATGTGCTAAATAAATGAGGTTGCTTAGATGTACAACTAATTAAGTATGCACTGCTTTGGTTTT